GATGGAGGGGGAGGGAGAACTGGGCGGGGAGGAGGAGGATGATGGGGACGAGCATGAGGATGAGGAGGAGGAGGATGGGAATGACAACGAGGAGGAGGAGGAGGGCGGGGAGGGCGGGAGCGAGCGAGGGGAGTCGATGGATGTGGAGCGCGCGGAGTCGCCGTTCGTGCCCCTGCGGCTCGATACGATCCCGCTCTCCTTGGATCTTGGAGGGCTGCTTGGGAATTTGGGGATTGGGAAGGGGAAGGGGAAGGAAAGGGAGCGGGAGCGGGAGGGGGCGTCGTCGTTGAAGGCGCAGCCGTCGCAGAGCAGCACCAAGACGCTGGCGGGCGCGGGGGGCCGGACTCCTACCGCCGCGGCGACGGGGTGGCAGCATCCGGATTATTTTTCGGTGCGGACGCCGACGTCAGATGGGAAGACGCCGATGCTGGGCATGGGCATGGCGTCGCCGACGGTGCGCACCGTCCCGATGCCGCCCCTCCCGTCGCCAGCAGGCGAGCGGCCGGGGATGTACAAGCACGCCTCGCGCAGCATGGTGGATATCCTCACCACCGCCAACCCGCCCGACGACGATGACGACGACGACGACAACCGGCCGCTTGGGCTCGGGCTCAAACGCAGCGGGACCGCCAAAGCAGGGAAAGGGAAGGGCAAGGCGGATGACGTGCGCGGAGAGGCGCCGGCGTACGACGGGCACGGCCCTCCCGTGGCGCGATCGAGCACGCTGAAGCGCCGCCGCTCGATGCCCGAGATCATGGCCGCCCCGCCGCCGTACACGCTCCCGCTCTTCCCCTTCACCCCCGCGCCCGCGCCCGTGAACGCGCACCCGCTCGCGCAGGCGCGCATCGTGCCGCGCGACGACGAGGGGCGCGAGGCGCTGCCTGGGTACAGCAACGCGATCCTGCTGCGCGGGGTGATGCCGCGCAAGATGGAGTTCACCGCGCCCGGGGTGCAGGCGAAGGACCGTAAGTGGCGGAGGGTGGTGTGTGAGCTTGAGGGGACGGTGTTTCGGGTGTATCGGTGTGCGGGGGAGGGGTGGTGGGAGCGGCGGGTGGGGACGGGGGACGGCGCGGTTGTGGGGCGGGGCCGAGTGTGGCTGCGAAGGCGAAGGTTGCGGTGCCGGCGCCGGGGGTGCAGGAGCGGAAGATTGCAGGCGAAGAGGGAAGGATACCTCTTGGGGCGGAGGGGGAGAGCGAAATTGGGGCGGAGGGAACGACGGAGGTCATTATTCCGCCGCGGTCCAGCATGTCGTCGGCGCGTAGCCGGGCACCGTCGTCTGCTTCGTCGATGGCGCCGCCGTCGCCAGAGGGGAGCGCCAGCAACCACACGCAGGCGAGCCGGTCGCGGTTGAACCTCGGGCTTAGTCTTCTCAAGCCGCGTTCGCATGGGCGGTCAAAGAGCGATTTACAGGGGTCGCCGAAGACGCCGACGACGTCGCGGGCGTCGCTGTCCATTCCTCGGCCCTCGTTTAGCTCAAACTCGAGCCCCGGCGCGAGTGGCTCTAGCCCTACGACGGGCGGTGCGCCGCTCGCGCCCTCCCGGTCGAACGTCTCGAACCTCAGCCTCGCGTCGTCTGCGCGCTCGGGCCTTCTCAGCGCACGCGCGCCCGCGACCGCAAGCAGCAGTAGTGCAGCCAGCGTGAAGAGCAACAGCAAGTATACGAAGGCGATGACTGCGGCGGGGACGGACGTCCCGGAGCCCGAGGCCGCGGACCTCATCCGCGCGTATACGATGCAGCATGCGGAGAGCGGGCTGGGGAACGACTATGTCAAGCGGAAGCATGTTATTCGGGTGCGGCTTGAGGGGGAGCAGTTTTTGCTCCAGGCGAGGGATGTGGGGGACGTTGTGGACTGGATTGAGGTGCGTGCATCGTCGTTCGTTCTGCTCGCGAAAGCTAATAATCAAATGACACGTAGGGCTTCCACTGCGCGACTAATATTGCGCTGGATCTGGACGAGCGGATCATGCCCAAAGGACCGTTGTTCCCAAGGTGGGTTGCGTGGTGCTTGTGCTGCGGGATACTACTGACTCGTTTCGCGCAGACGGAGGAGGCGACGCAACCGGACTACTAATGGCAATGCTGCGACAACACTAAGCGAACGACCGGCGGCGGAGTGATTTACCTGTCTGTACTCTTTTTCACTTTTTATTTCATTTCACTGGGACCACTATCTTCTGCACATATCGATCCCCAACATACACGTCTCCTGCACGCACTCGTCACTTTCATTTATGCAACTGTTGTCTTTTTAGAAACAAGTACTACTTAATTATCATTAGCTCGTATTGTAATCAATCTATTGTCGCTCGAGGCAGCGTTTTGGCCACCGGCGGCGCCTTTTCGTTAAAGTGGAGTGGAAAGAGGTGGGACATAACTGGCGCTGGGAAGAACGTATTCAACAGCTTGTCGTGTCTTCAAGACAGATGGTATGGCGCTGAAGCGCTTTCCTTGTAGCTGTAGGCTGCACAGGTGACCCGCCGCTGTAGAAATGGGTCTACATGGGTAAGAACGTATGGCATGTTGAACGCAGGCTGTATAGTCCTTCTTTCAATATCTTGTTGGCGCCAGTGTCCAGAACGAAACCAAATGGCCCAAGAGAGATGGCCAACGCGATATTCCCGGTGGATTACTTGAAGTCGGAATAATTGAGGGCTGGCTGTTTACTGCATTCAAAGGACGAAGGCGTCTTGAGGTGCCAGGTGGCAGGAAGGTGGGCGTTTACAGAAATGCGGACCGATTTTGCGTGATGAAATCAAGTCGCACGGCGCCATATTTGGACGACAGGCCCATGCGATTGCGATAGACTCCCGAGTCACCTCCTCCTCTTCCCGCCATCCTTGTACTGCCCTCACCAGCAACAGCTCTCCCCACAGCTCGCTGTCCCTCTTTTTTACTGGCCTCGGCAACATACCATCAAGTTCCCTCCAGCTCCATACCCCATACATACCAGTCGACGGCTTTATAACTCGGCCTCAGTACCAATTAAACGCGCATGGCGGAGATAGAGATTGACCTTGACTCTGTCATCGATAAGCTACTCGAAGGTTCGCACCAACGAATCCTCCTCTTTTTTTTTTTTTGAGCACTAAGGCCAAAACGCCGCTCAGTTCGTGGCAATCGCCCGGGCAAGCCCGTCCAGCTGCAAGAATACGAAATCAAGTACCTCTGCACCAAAGCGCGCGAGATATTCATCAACCAGCCCATCCTGCTCGAGCTCGAGGCACCGATCAAGATATGTGGTGCGTCGTGTGCCCCTGGTTTCGCGCATTCCACTCACGAACACCGGACGTTCAGGGGACATCCACGGGCAGTACTACGACCTCCTGCGGCTGTTTGAGTATGGCGGGTTCCCCCCCGAGGCGAACTACCTCTTCCTCGGTGACTATGTCGACCGCGGGAAGCAATCCCTTGAGACCATTTGCTTGCTGCTGGCGTACAAGATCAAGTACCCCGAGAACTTTTTCATTCTTCGCGGCAACCACGAGTGCGCGTGCATCAACAGGATATATGGGTTCTACGACGAATGTGTGTGTTCCTTGTTACTTTGCCGAGTTTTTTTTTTTAACAAAGCTGTAAAGGCAAGCGGCGGTACAACATTAAGCTGTGGAAGACGTTCACGGACTGCTTCAACTGCCTGCCCATTGCGGCGATTATTGACGAGAAGATATTCACGATGCACGGCGGCCTCAGTCCGGACCTGCAGTCGATGGAGCAGATACGGCGGGTGATGCGCCCGACGGACGTGCCTGATACAGGTGCGCTCCCGTCTCAGCGCCACGGATTAATAGATGACGGGCGCTGATGGATGCTCGACCCAGGGCTCCTCTCCGACTTGTTATGGTCCGACCCCGACAAGGATATTACGGGGTGGTCAGAAAACGACCGTGGGGTGTCGTTTACGTTTGGGCCCGACGTCGTAGCGCGGTTCCTTCAAAAACACGACATGGACCTTATATGTCGGGGGCATCAGGTGTGTCTCGACCCTCACGCTCTTACGGCTGCCGACTGAGCGCCGGACTTAGGTGGTGGAGGATGGATACGAGTTCTTTGCGAAGCGGCATCTGGTGACGCTCTTTTCGGCGCCGAACTACTGCGGGGAGTTTGACAATGCGGGCGCGATGATGAGTGTCGACGAGTCGCTGTTGTGCTCGTTCCAGGTGCGTTCCCCCTTCCGTGCACACGAACTACCGCCAACGCCGTGTACTACTAGATTCTCAAACCGGCCGAGAAAAAGCCCAAGTACCCGTACTCGGGCAATGGCGGTGTCACCACGCCACGCAGGCAGAAGAAGCGCGCCGCCTGATCGTCTCGTCTCGTCTCGACTCAGTCTTCCAATACCCACCGTGTACTCCGACCCTGCGTTACCCCCTCCCTCCCTCCTTGACGCGTCACATCCTTCCTTATCTTTATGATGCGCCAGGGTGTGCATAGACCGGTCGGGGTGCTGTGAACATTACATGTACGATATCACTCCTGCTTCATTCACTCTTTCTGTGTCACACTTTTCCTTTCTTCTTCCTTTTTTAAAAGACTCTTTATTGGGAACACGCCACGCCTTATGTCTTTCTGCAATCCACGACTCCTCTGCTACTTGATCAAATTAAATTAATTAACTAGGATAGAAATCGGTGGGTGTAGGCAGGTAGACTTGGGTTGAACATTTTGTATGATATATCATCGTCGCAATAAATGGCGCAGTTAGCGGCAGTGAACCGAAAGAGCTGAGAGTTATGTTCATCCCAAAAGGGAACTCACCGCCGCTTACGTGAGATCGCAACCCAATTGGGAATCATCCGATCACTTTCGATGTCCTCGCTGTGTTTCGTCGGGTGTACCTTCCGCAGCTCGCCCTAAGTTTTGAAAACATGCAAACCACCTCGGGGCGCGTAGGGGGCCGGCCTGGGATCAGAACAAAGGTTGCCCATTCCAATTTAAGCGCGATAAGGATTGATGATCAAAAAACGAGGATACGAAGATTCGCAGGGAAGAAAGCAAAAGATGATTCCACCCGGGCTCGAACCGGGGACCGCCTGTGAACCACGTAAGTGTTAGACAGAAGTCATAAACCAACTAGACCATGGAACCCTTGAAATAAGAGCAACAGAAAGGAACTACAGTCGGAAAATCTCTGGTTTGCTTTGCTCTCTGTAAAGGAATTGAATGTCCTGTGGCTTGGGGAGGCGGTTGCGGACTGCGGAGAGCTTCGCGGTGCAAGAAGAGAAGAACAGATATCCGTATCCTGGAAAGCGAGGCGCAGTCGAATCCGCCCACTTGCATGCAATCTCATGTCATGTCGTTTGATACAGTAATGCGCGTTAAAGTCACAGGGTAAGAGAGCTCCAGTTGTCGTGGAATATTAATATGACGGGTCGAAGCCGGTGTTCTCTGGTGTTTATTTTTTGACAAGTTCTACATCACCGTTCAAGAGTTCCGGCCGTTCGGCATGTTGGAAAACGCTCGCCGATTAGACAAAATGCCTCGCCAAATTACTGTTAATCACCGCTTTGCTATGGGACTCCGTCAGCAAGTCGGCCAATGTCTGTAGGTATGTGTTTGAACCGCCCTGACTCGCCCACGATAATCATGGAAAGCGGGAGAAGCTTAAGTCGTATTGATGCTGGGAACTTGAACCCAACTTGCAAGCTTGAGCCGGGCCAGAAATACGAGCGCTAGCGGGGCTTGTACTTAGTCTCACCAACTTGAAGGTGTGTTGCAATGGATGTTTTTTGGCAGATGGGACGACGAACTCATGGGCAGAATGGTTGAACACTGCTATAAATACAGAAGAACTGACAGAAATAGGACATTACCAACGTGTCCGCGTCTAAATTCCTGACGTGCCTGGAACCGGTATTGAGCCGGTATATAACCAGCGCATCCAAGTGGCCAATAATTATCCCGTTCAGCACCATGACCCTACGTTCTTTCTCCGAGACCATCCTGGTCTATTTCTTTTTGATCGTAGCCGTCGCTGCCGACAAAGCTCCCAAACGTGGCCTCGCGTTCCTCACACTCAACGTCGCCGCAAGCAGCATCAGTGCGGACACTCACACCGCCGTCCAAAGCAATGGCCTCGCGAGCTGGGTGTACGACTGGGGTCACACACCACCTGCAGCTCTCTTGCAGTCGGGACTCGAGTATATCCCTATGCAGTGGAATGCCGAGGGTATTGAGGACTTTGCCGCCACTGTAAAGTCACTGGGTGCAAAGACCATCCTAGTATGTGCTTCACAGAGTAACCGTGAAATATACTGAATGCATGACATAGGCATTTAATGAACCTGACTCGGCAACACAGTCGAACATCAATGCAACATACGCGGCCCAGCTATGGATGCAGTACTTTGAGCCTTTGAAGGCTACAAATGTCCGCCTCGGCGCGCCGGCAATTTCCTCCGCAGAATCGGGCCCAATATGGCTTGCGCAGTTCATGGCGGCATGTGCAAAATGCTCGATAGATTTTATCCCGATTCACTGGTAATTCAGCGCAGTCTCCCCCGCACATTCTTCACTCACGAGATGCAGGTACGGGTCAGGCACACAAAATTTCTTCAACTATCTCGGCCAGCTGAACAAACAATTTCCGAACCATCCACTGTGGGTTACCGAGTTCGCGGAGAGTTCCGCTGACCCTGCGGCGGTGCTTTCATTTATGGACATTACTGTTCCTGCGTTGGATGGACCCGCTTTCCTATTCGTCTGAATCGAGAGATATGCGTGGTTCGAGTACTCTCGCTCTGCCAGTGGCGGATTGCATTCTAGTTCGTCCTATTGATCAAGTTGATGGATGAGACCTGGTGCTCAACTTCCACAGATCTGTTAGACAGCAACGGAAATCTCAACACTTTGGGTCAGGTGTATGTTGTCGGGACGGCACCGGTCACGCCCACCAGCCAGATCCCAGGTCCATCCTCACAGTCTAATGACCCGCCTACCTTGTCTAGATCTGGGTCCCAGACGTCCTCTGCTCCGCACAGTGCGACGTCGACGGCCGACATCCTCTCCCCAACTCAGAGCACGACGAGTGGTGCCAAGCAACGGCCTGTGAGCGTAACGAGCCTCTACGCCCTGGGTGCAAGTATCGTGATAGGATTTGCGTTGGAGGGGGGGCAATTGTGGAGTATTTGAAGTGTTACGAGGTGTTACGGTGTTTTCCGTATGTGAAGTTGACGTAGTTGACACCAAGAAAAAGAAAATACTGTTTCCGAGTCTGTCAGCCGACGGGGTACTCCTACTGCAGACTCGACTGTGATATCGAAGCTTTTGGTCTGCTTGAACTTGTCAAGTTTTTTCAACATGCCGGTATTGCCGAGCACGGATCAAAGCAAGGATCACAGCATCTACGATTGCAGTTCTCCTCCGAGTCGACAGCAAATGCCAAAAATGTCCATCCTTTCCCTCCCCACCGAAACTCTTTCTGATATCTTTCGCGCTGCCGTCGCAGTAGGGGGTCCGGAATTCTTGCAGACGGATCCGTCACCGGAGACGGAGCTCGGGCGCGTCGCTAATACTCCTCTGCTGATGCTCTCCCAGGTGTGCTCGCACTGGCACGGCATTGCCTTTGAAAATCCCACATTCTGGTCGAACATCGAGATTAATTGCGTGCTGGGCAGCACCCAATCGACCGTGGAGAAGACGACCGAGCTCCTAAGTGCTCGTCTCGAGCGGAGTCGCGACGTCCCGCTCTCAATCACCCTCGCATCGCTGCCATCGGCATACAACTCTCAACCCATCCATCCTCGACTCTTCCACCTTCTCGCGCAACACTCGCATCGGTGGGAAACCGTGCACGTGTGTTGCTCTTTAGAAGGAGCAGATCTCTCAGTTTTTCAGGGGAGACTGCCGAGGCTGAAGAGCCTCCTCGTAGGTTGTCGCGTGCCTGACTCGTTGGAATCTTTCGGGATTGCTCCGCTTTTGGACAATCTCATACTCGGACCTACCCTCCTGCGAGCGAAGTTCCTCACGGCAATCCTCCAATCCAGACAACTCAAGTCCTTTGGATGCTTGGCGAGGGTCCCTGACGAGTTCCGGGAAGCCATGTCTGTGCTACCCAAACTCCCCGCTGGGGCCGAGTTTCTGCTCGTAACCCGCCTCCCGCCACATTGGAATTGGAGTTTTTCGCTGGACCTCCCGCCGGTCACTGCTCCGATTTCTACCCTCGGCGCATACACAACGCATGAGTATCCGCAGCAATTGTGTTCAGTTCTCGGTCAGATCTTCGCCAGTCTCACCCTGCCCCAGTTGGGCAAGGTGATTTTCCACTGCAGGCTTTACCCCCGCCACGTGCACGAGTGGCCGCATACCGCGTTCCTTGCGCTATGCCAGCGCTCTAACCTCGGCCGCTGTCTCAAAACTCTGCGGATCGTCGACGTTCGAGTCGCAGAAGGAGATCTGCTCGAGGTTTTATCCGTACTTGAGGCGCTCGAACACCTCGAAGTCGGAGACGCGCCAGGGAACGACGAAGGTAGTAATAACGTGCTCATCACCGACACTTTCCTGCGTGCGTTGACGTGGACACCGGGGCACGACTGTCTTGTTCCGCACCTGTCCCACCTCACATGCGTGTCCCGCTTCGCCTTCACGCACGGCCTCCTCGTCGATTTGGTCGCGTCGCGGTTGTCACGGCCCTCTACGTCCCCAATCCTCTTGCACTTCTTCATCTACCCGTGTCCGGACAGCGCAGTCTTCTTCGACTCCACGGCCCACACATTGCTGCAGAACCTGGCGGCCGTGGATAGACGATTTGCGTACCTCTCAGGGGAAGATTACATGAGTGCCAGGCGTGGTATGTACTGAATCGGGATGTTGCGGTGGTGTATTCGATCCATAATTTATAATTAATGGTTCTCTTCCGTAGAGAATTCGAAGTATACGTGCGCGGCTGGCTCTTAGTCGCACACATATTCGCGATTTCCGAGCCATTCGGCTTGTTGCGTGGTTGAAGTTCAAAACCGGGCATCTCGGCCCTTGTGACTACGCTACCTAAGTTCAGGTAACAAATACCTCGTTGGCACTCAGTAAAAGGTGGACGAAGTTGAAGAACTCGAAGGACGGCTCAATTTTGGTGAGACCGATGGACGACATCGAAACAACAAGTACTTTTTCAATGTTTACGCGGCTAGCCGGGGGACAAAGTTGAGGACGGAACACAGACGATGGTCATAAACTTGAGATGGATTCAACTCGGAGGAGGAGTGTTTTACTTCCGCTTTCCTTGACGTTTGGGATTGCCTGTTTGTCACATCTCGAACGGATCGTACTAATTGCAGATTTCTTTGACATGACCAAATAAGAACCGATCTTCTTCAACAAATCGAACCAGCCCGAGCCTGTGAGTGGGAAAGCGACTGTCTCTTGAAGTAAGCTTCCGCATGAGATCGATGAAGATGGACTCACCGTCACAGCAGAATACAGAGGAGAAGTTCCGCTGCCAGTCGGAATGTCCTGACCATACATTTCAGATTTGCTGTTGGCCATCAGGGCTCGAAGCCTTGAACGGGAATTGAGGCTGGTCCCAGACGAAGTTAGCGTTGCTCCTTGCAAGGTTTAACTTGCGTCAGGATCACCTCGCAAGGAGAGAGTTGGAGTACACTTGTAGTACGCCATTCAATTTTTCAGCGGCTCGCGGCTCGGCAGAAAATGACACCTACATCGCGCTGTCACGACGAAAAATGCAATCCAGATATCTGCAACAAGGTAGTGTCAGTCCCCAGCGATATTTATTTCGGGCCGCACAGTTTGATTTCATAGTCACGAACTGCCGAGAGCGGATGAGTCCAGAGCAGGAAAAGTGAACGAGGAAAAGTGAACGAAAGACGCACACAGATCAAGTTTACCAGCCCCGCGGCACTATAATGAACTCAACACGGGTAGGGAACACACACTGAGGACCAATTTGCCTGGTGACAACACCGGTTTCTGCCGTGGTAAGTCAGTACCGAGGCAGAACTTGGGAAGTGAGCGTAAAACGAACCCATGGTCCAAGCGATAAGTTTGTCGACGAGAGCCACGGTTCTGAACGGAGTCAGTCACCAGTAACTCGAGTGCGTCAGGACGACGCACCGGTGATCGCCTTCAGGGCGGCG